CAAAGTAGAAAAAATAATTTACAGTAACTATTTGCTGGGGGGAAAAAATGGATACAAATCTGCCTATGACACTTAAGCAACTTTGTTTAATTACGGAACTACTCTCATTTTCTCAGTGTAGCCACCTGTCCTAAACATGGATATAAGCATCAATATGAATAATATAACATTTGAAACTTACTAAAATTCATTGTGTAGTTTATAACACAAGCAGCAAAGAAAATGTTATTTTTTGTCAAAGACGGAAAAGCTGAATTTATATTAAATATTTGCTTTTTTTAGGGTTAGCACGTTCATAACTGACACCAAGGGTGGAGTTAGGAAACAGCTACCGTTTTTACAGAGTATGTTTTCCAATTTGAGACTTACAGCAGCCTCCTGAAGGTTAACATATGACAGCTGAAGGTGATTATTGGAAGGAAGCAGATGAAACAGTAATTTGAAAAAATAGCGTAAGATTTTTAGACAGGTTTTATATCTTGAAAAAAATGATGACAAAATACAATGGATCCTTAATAACCCATCTCAGTGTCTGAAGCCTTCAGTGAACAGAATATAATTTATCACGTCTAGCCTAAACCGTTTTTGCTTCAGAATAACCAATATCTTCTTAACGAGTTTCTGGTGAAATGGTAGTGAAGCATCTACCCTGTTTTAATGGTGCATATATAATGAACCACCTTCTCAATCCTGCTTCAATCAAGCAACAATGCTTTGTCTTCTTGAGGATTATCCAGGGTGTGTCAGGTTAACAGGTAAATTAGCTGATGCAAAGAGCAAGGCAAAAAAGAGCTCAATCTCCTCGCATATTTTTTTTTTTTTTTTTTTTTTTGGCGGTACGCAGGCCTCTCACTGTTGTGGCCTCTCCCATTGTGGAGCACAGGCTCCGGACGCGCAGGCTCAGCTGCCATGGCTCACGGGCCCAGCCGCTCCGCAGCATGTGGGATCTTCCCGGACCAGGGCACGAACCCGCGTCCCCTGCATCGGCAGGCGGACTCTCAACCACTGCGCCACCAGGGAAGCCCTCCTCGCATATTTTTAAGTTGACACCAAAATTGTTCTATCATATAGAAGTTTAAATAGTTGCATATATAATAATGGCATAGTATATGTTTTAAAATAAAACGGTCACACACTGTTTTAAATGTATCCAATGGAAGTTAATATAATGATTTTGATATACACACTTTCTATTTCTTAAAAATGAACTGACAGAGGGCTTCCCTGGTGGCGCAGTGGTTGAGAGTCCGCCTGCCGATGCAGGGGACACAGGTTCGTGCCCCGGTCCGGGAAGATCCCACGTGCCGCGGAGTGGCTGGGCCCGTGAGCCATGTCCGCTGAGCCTGCGCGTCCGGAGCCTGTGCTCCGCAACAGAAGAGGCCACAACAGTGAGAGGCCGTGTACTGCAAAAAAAAAAAAAAAAAAAATGAACTGACAGAGCTTTCATACTGTTTCTTTTTACTCTTTGAACTTGAGTATTAAATCCATTTATCCCACAGAATTTTATTCTAATGTAACATTTTTCTATGCCTGAAAGATATTATTTATTACTCAACATACTTCTCTGAAATAAAAATATACAAATAAATGGTAATTTAAAAAGAATTTCCTTTTGTCAAAACAGTCTAAGCACTTAAAAAAAATTTCATCTGGATTACTTGTGGATTGCAATTATTATTACCACACAGCTAATGAATGAAAACAACATCAATGTATTACAAATTTTGAAAAATAATTATTAATCATTAAAAACTTAGAAGGAGATATGTCTCTTGAAAGTGGCTGTTTATTCAATTACTTCACATTTTATTGAATGGAAAGTTATTTACTATTAGAATGAACAGAACTGGATAGAAATTTACTACAAAAAGAAAAGAAGGTATTGGCCACATATCTGCATGCAGTTAACTTAAATCTAACGAGTACACGACGACATGAACAAGTAGAGAAGAGGCTGCTGCACACCAGCAAGCAAAACACACTGAAGTGATAAAAATGCATATGGAGTTAGAATAGCAAATGATACCTTTTTGCAAAAGTTAACGGAAGTGTCTTCCGAATGACTGAGAAAATGTAAAGCACAAACTTTCCTATAGTGCATGGTCCTTCTACATCAGGAGGGCACATTGATCTGATGAAAACAAACAGAACTTTTCACCCCCTCCTCGTTGAGATCTATCACTGAAGCCTCCCCGAGCTCTTTTCACTTCTGGGTAGGTGAAACGAAGACAAGTGTGTTTCAGGGAAGAGTATTTCTCAAAGGGCTTTTTATTTCTAACACATCTTGAAAATTCTAATTCTATTATGTGGAAGTGTGTGTACACCACAGCGCGTTCCACTAAGTCTGCAGCCTGGATAAAACAAGGTGCCTCTTGCCTGCGGTAACTCTTGCAGATGTTTCTCTGCTTTGTTCTCATAAACGTTCCTTGAGGCACAATATATACTTTGATGATGGCTGGAGAAGGGAAAAGGGAAGGTTGTTCACAAAAAAAATGGTACAGTTCTTGCTGACCACCTATACGTCTGAATGAAGAAAACCCCAAGATTGGTCAAAAGATCCCATTGCTAGTGTCATACTCTGCCCTTAAAAGTAGTATGTATAGAGTGAAGGCAAGGAGCTCTTCTATGGGATGTTTAAAAGAGGCTTCTTCAAGCCCGATATTTTAAACTGTGCTTGTCTTGCACCCTGAAGGTGTGGTTTCACAGAAGACTCACTGGGAAAGGCGTGTCCTTCTTTTGAGAAGTGGAAGAGATAACACAAAGCAGGTATGAAAAGAGAACTGGCAGGTGCCAACACAGAAGCATGTTCTCAGGTAGCTCAATTTCAGAAAACATGCACGTGGAAACTGAAGATCTAAAAAACTGTTCCTTTGCCACTGTCCATGGCATATACCCCAGGTTTAAGACCACTGTTACAGATCACCCACATCACTACTTCTTTTTATGAGGAAAAACAGTATGGATTCTTTTGAAACCTCACTTCCTTCTTCCTGGGGCATACGAACATGGTATCATTTAGTTTTTATGAGAACCCTCTAAGGTGGGTTTTATTATACCCATTTTACAGATGGGAAAAGTAAGATCAAACTGGTTAGATAACTTGTCCAAAGTCAAACAGATAATAAGTTGAATAGAAGTATCTGAACTCAAGTCCTCTGCCATCGAAGCCCACTGCTCATAATGGTTCTCATTTCTAAGCTCACTTTTTTTTTGCTTTCTAATACCCCTTCTAACAAACCAAGGCCCATGTCATATCATGATAAAATAGAATTTAATAGAATGTATTAACTGATTGCTGGTGGGCCAGAAAATATGTTGTTCTACATACATTAGAGCCTTTTAATGCTCACACCACCACAAATGAGGTTTGATCACCCTCATTTTGCAGATACTGAAAGTGGGGCTAACAGGCTTCTTGCCCGAGGTCATACCGCTAACACTAACTGGTGATGAGCTCAGATTCAAACGTAGGTCTGTTTGATTTCAACAAGCTCTTAACTATTATGATAAATTGTTCTCACAACAGCAGATCCTCTGACAGTACAGGCCTAATGATGAAAGAGGAGGACACAAACTCCTCTGTCTAAACAGGGCAGGTGGATAATGGGACTGGGCAAAGCAAGCAGGGCACAAGGTGGGGACCAGAGAGTGCTGAGAACTGGGTATCCATGCCTGTACCCCAGGACAGCACTGCCAGCGCCAGCTTCTGTGTGGGGCTGCAAACCCAGGAAGCCATGCCTGCTGACTGTTCAAGAGGGACTGAAAAGCAGATTTTTATGTGAAATCTTACAAGTGTTAAATTCTGGCAATCAATTAAGAAATATCTACTGTGCATATATCCACATATATTTTTAAACTGATATTTTAAATACCCACACCATGTTCCAGGCAGGCTGAATGTGGTTCATGGACCACCATATTATAACTTCTGAGGTAAAGAGTGCATGGTGGGCTATGCCCCATGTTGAGAAGATCATTACTCTATATAAAATATCTCTAGAGACTTCCCTGGAGGTCCAGTGGTTAAGACTTTGCCCTTCCACTGCAGGGGGCATGGGTTCGATCCCTGGTTGGGGAACTAAGATCCCACATGCCACGCAGCCAAAAATAAATCAACAGTGAAGATTATGTTTAAATAAATAAATAAAAATCTCTCTAGACAGCCAATTCTCTTTCTTATTTCATTTAAATAAGAGCAAGGTACTGCTGATTTCTGCTGATTTGGGGGCCTCTGGGACTGGTTTAGGCAGTTGCTAATTCTCCATCCCACTCAGAACTGGAGTATCCAGCATAATCCTCACACAGAACAGGAGGTAAAAAGATACAAAACTAGAAAAACATCAAGCACTGCAAGGAGGTAAGGCTGGGAAGCTGATCCTGATGCTTCCTGGGTGAAGCTGCACCTCAGATATAACCTGATCTCCAGTTTCCCCCATCTCCGTCCTCTGTACTCAGTCCCCAGTACCTAGCACATGGCAGGTGTTCAATAAATATTCATTTTTCCTGCTCAGTGTAGATGCTGTACTCGTGTCCATCCTCCTATAGTTCCATTTTTTCCCGCCCCAACTCTGAAAGTTAGCCAGGAAGGCATTTGTTGACTAATCAGAGCTCCAGAAGCTATGACCTAAAGGTATCTGTTTAAGCATTCACGCTCCTCAGACAGGAACAATGCTGGCGGGTGGGAGAGCTGCCGCAAGAAGTCAAATCTATCAGGCTAAAGCTGCTCCTTGCATTCCTCTGCAACTACAGCTTCTTTGGTCTGGTGATTTCACTACTGGGCTCACTGTCACAAATATAACGACAGGCTTCCTAAGTGTGCATACAACCTGTATCAGAATAGTAAATCACATTCTGATTATATGTTCAAATCTATGCCTTCAATCCTTAATGCCTTACAAATTAAATCCAATATTCCCCCAGCTTGCGCTATTATGGCCAATAGGCAAATATTCTAGACACATCAACCTGAAATAGAATCTTATTTTCAAGCAATCAATTACTTATATTCGCTGGTGTAGGTGGTGAGCTCACTGTCGTTGTGCATCCACTTGAATTCCAAGGGCCAGCTCCCTTCAGCAAGGCAAGTGAGAACGAGACGGTTCCCTTCCAGGTGAATCTGCGGAAGGCCCGGCTCTGTTTTAAAATATGGCACAACGTCATCTGAAATATTAAAGGAAAAAGAGAAAGAAAGGAAAAAAACTGAATGAAGTACACATGAAAATGTCATTCATCCAATTAATCAATCACTTGTTTAAACAGACCTAATTTTAGAAAGCAGAAATGATGGCTATTTGGCCCAATTAAGTAGCAAATTATCCTTGACCCCCTAGAAACCTGCAATACCCTAGACAATATTTCAAAAGGCTGAATGCTCTATGACAGCACCATGTGAAAGCACCTGACAAGTTCATCCAAGTTATTTCCACTTGTGATTAATACTTACTTACGGCATACTGGGCAATCTCTGCTGATGCAAGCCTTGGTTTTAACTAGGCATTATATTCTCAAAGTAACAATCAAGGGTATATACCTTGGCTCTAAAAGAAAAATATAACCTTCACTTAGTTATAAAAAAAAAAAAAGTAACTAGGATAAGCACATATACATATACATATACATACAGATTAACACATATACATAAATGACATGCATCACAATCCAGTTTTCGTCTCACACACACACTGTCTCCTTCAGTGACATCCAGGGGGCTAGCACACTGGAAACCCACGTGTGTTCATACAGTGGAACAGCCTGCAGCAACAGGAACGAACCAACTATTGCTACACACAACACACAACACCACGGATGGAGACGTATGTGTAGTGAGAGAAGCCAGACAGGAAAAAATTATAGCATATGCTTCCATGCAAAAGTTCAGAAAAGTTCAGAACCAGGCGAAACTAGTCTGTGGTGTTAGAGGTCAGTCAGGGTAAGCGTTGTTACCTCTGGGGGATGGGGATGGTGGCAGGTGTGTAACAGGGCAGCTCGTGGAGAGCACATCAAGACCCATTTGTCAACATGGTTACACGGGGCCATTCACTTTGTGAAAATTCATAGAAAATCATCCTGTACCTGACTTGTGCAATTTTTGTATGATGCTTCCTTAATTTTTAAAAAGTGTATGAACATAGGAGACTTATTTGCAGTTCTAGCTCTATCATTTTTCTAATAAAATCCCCAGGGTACACCCACATAATCCGGTGTGTCTATCCTTCAGGCCTCCTACCCTCTCGACTCAGGAATGAACACTCCAGCACACTCTGCTTTTCACTCTTAAGCCAGGCTAAGCCCTTTCTCCCTGGTGGGGGCGGGGGGGCTTGCCTGTGTTCCTCCTCCACCCTGAGTGCTCCTCCCCAGCTCCCTGCAAAAAGCTGATGCATTCCCATCCTTCAGGTTCACCAAGCTCCTCCCACCAACACGCCCTAACAAACCGTGACTTATACCCAGTGGATTCCCATGCACGATCTCAATCACTTCTGAATTTCTAAACCAATGCCAGGAACAAAGTAGATACTGAATAAATATTTGTTCAATGAATAAATACAATAATAACAAAATTAACAGTAATAGCTAGTGTTCACTGAGTATCTACTATGCCGGAAACTGTTCCAAGTGCTTTATATGTATTACTTGATTTAATTTTCATGAAAGCCCTACAAAATAGATGCCATTATTATACCCATTTTACAGATGGGTAAAGAGAGGCATAGGGAAACTAACTTGTTCAAGGCCACCCAGACAGTATGTGGTACAATCATGATTTAAACCCCAGATAATCTGTTCCAGAATCCAGATATCCTATATATTATGACTCTAAATGTCACAGGTTTATCAATAGAGAAATTTTCTTCTCAAGAATCCCTATCTTAATGGGACTTCCCTGGTGGTCCAGCGGTTAAGACTTCACGCTCCCAATGCAAGGGGGCCCGGGTTTAATCCCAAGTCAGGGAACTAGATCCCGCATGTGGCAACGAAGATCCTGTGTGTTGCAACTAAGACCCAGCATAGAATGAATGAATGAATGAATAAATAAATAAAAGAATCCTTATCTTAACTTCAAACTTTTGATAAATTTGTAGAATTACTAAACTGGACTTTTAAATTACTGTATTTTTCAAATTACTCACCAAATAGCATATTAACAGTGCCAGAGTTGAGACTGTTTTTACCTTCAATTGTACGTATAGCTGGTTTCTTCTGTACTGAATATACAGAATTTAAATAGAGTTTACTTTGCCATTGTGCTGATCACTGCATTCCATAATTGGTACATTGGTAATGCAATGTTACCAGTCTCTTACTAGTACTTATCCACATAAATAAATGTTAACTTGTGTCTGTGAGTGTAGTAGGAGCCTGTAATAAGGAGATTTAACCGCCTCAATGAGATGCCGGGCAGGAGCTGAGAGCTGAAAGAGCAGTAGTTGTCGATACTCCAACACACCACGTGCAAAGGCCCTGCGGTGGTAGCAAACATGGCGAGTAACCTTGGAAAGCACAAAAGACTGAAACACCAGCAGTTCTGTAGGTTCAGAGAGAATGACTGGAAGCAGGGCCTCGCAGGCAAGGCAAACACAGGTCTTCTTTGCTCATCATCCCTGTGTGATTTTCAATGGTGCCCACTTCACATTCAAAAGCGTTCTTCTCATGTGAATAATAAATTATATGACCACCCTATTTCTAGGCCTTGGTCAAAAGTACTGTCAGTATAATTACGATGATGATTAGCTATTAATGTAAAAGGACGGGGCTTCCCTTGTGGCGCAGTGGTTGAGATTCTGCCTGCTAATGCAGGGGACACGGTTTCGAGCCCTGGTCTGGGAGGATCCCACATGCCACGGAGCAACTAGGCCCGTGAGCCACAACTACTGAGCCTGCGCGTCTGGAGCCTGTGCTCCGCAACAAGAGAGGCCACGATAGTGAGAGGCCCGCGCGCCGCGATGAAGAGTGGCCCCCGCTTGCCACAACTAGAGAAAGCCCTCACAAAGAAACGAAGACCCAACGCAGCAAAAATAAATTAATTAATTAATAAACTCCTACCCCCAACATCTTCAAAAAAAAAAAAGGGGGGCCATGTAGTTAAACGTTCATTTTGGATGCAACATGGAGAAGGAATTAAGAGGGGCCAGAGTAGTGGGAATAGACCAGTTAGGAGGTCACTGCAGTAACCCAAGGAAATGCTCTGAAAGGTGACAGTGGGTTGGGTCAAGGTAAGAGTAGTGACTGTGGTGGTGGAGACAGAAATGGATGGCTCTAAGACAAGATCTAGGGGGCAAAAAAGACTTAACGATGGACTGAATACGGGTGTAAAGGACTGAGAGGTTCAAGAAGGATTCTTAGATCTCTGACATGCACAACTTTCCGTTCAAGAAACACACCTTGATTCTGTAATCAGCATGGGGAATACAACAAGAATAAGACAGAGTTTCTGTCCCTTTAGAGGTTATAGTCTAAATCTGGCACAGGAATAGAAACGGTGAAGTGTCAGGTGCTGTGACCCTAACCCTAACACAAAGGCAGGAAGTAGTCACCCCCATCCTACCCCAGAAGTTCCACCTGCTTCTGTGGCACATCACCTACTCTAAGTTACAATTCCAGTGCATTCTTAGGTTTTGATTGTCAACTGTGTGTCCAATCTCCCTTTTTGCTATGTGCTAAAGTCACACACTCCCACGACCCACACAGTCTAATAAAGCTGAACTGTGATGGATACGGCTTTGATACCTCGGGACTGACTGCGCTACTGGCTTTATTAATGCCCTGCCATGTGCACTATATTCAACAACAGAAAAAGAAATGCCTTCGTATGGTTCCAGTGTGCTACAGGAGTGAGTCATTAAAAAAACAGATATTTTTGAAAGAAAAAGGCTTCAAGATAGATGCTTAAGAAGCTGAATTTGGTTTTACAGTTGACAGAGCATCACTGATTTAATACATAATGGTTCTGAATGTAAATAATACCATAATAAGTCAATTTTTCCTAGAATTCATCATTTACTAAACATGCCTACACCGTGTACAAATTATGCTGGGTATTGTGATCTAGTAGGAAAAAATATTTTCAAAAAAGAGAGGTTTCATAGGGCTGGCGAGCAAATACCTTGCGACAGTGAAGAATTACGGTTGGCACTGACTCTGACGTTAGTTATAGGGAGGAGGGAGGGTAACTATGGCAGTGTTCTGGAATGCTAAGGGTCTAAGTTAAAATTACTGCCCCAAGTGTTTTAACATAGATTAGCCGATGTGCAGAATAACATAGTTAGCTCTCTGAGCCCAGAAATATTTACCACTGAAATATACAGAGTAGATCATGAAATTAAGAGGGCCTAAAGGTAACAAAACATAAAAGCTCTGGGGAGAGAAAGAGAAACAGAAGGAATAGTATTCAGGTCTGCACAGACCCCTACAAAAGCATGTGATCTTTATATATCTTAAATGGAACAGAAAAGAGTTTGAAAAGATCCATAAAGACAAAAATGACTGAGGTACCTCGGAGATAAGATTACGAGACTCTGACCTGGGGACAAGTCAGTGGTCCACCTGATGCTCTTTGAGGTGTATGTGTGTGTGTTTCTCCCAAATAATAACTAATAGGAAAAATGAGCAGACATTAAGTATGCGTCTGTATTCTTACAATGAACATTCATGGAACCCTGAATGAATTACTAAGAAAAACTGTGAAATTTCCATTTTCACATACAATTAAATACAACATAAATCATTTATGAAAGAAAGAGTCTCGTCTGTCAGGATAATACAGATTTAAGGTCCATCCAAAGGAGAGGAATGGACTTGGTGTTCTCTCAAGACAACATCATAATTTGATGATGTATAAGTCACTTCCCTAAATGGATTTCTAAGGTTTTCAGATATAGTGTAAATGTATTTAACTTTACCTGTCCGATATGAAGATAGTCTTCTGCTCATCCAGAAAGGAACCATGACCCATTTGCCACAATAAAAGTCATTTCCACGGGGAAGCCAGAGGATAAGATGCTCTGAAGCAGAACCACGTCCTGGGGTTCCAGGCTTTCCTACCAGGAGGAAGAGTGGCCTTGCCATGGGTTTTAATTATCTGCTCCCAGTGGAACATGGAGGATTTATTACCAGATACTCCTTCACGGCAGAATGGATAGGAATCACCTAGTCGGTGCCAGGAAAGTCAAACTTCAAGCGATTCTTGCGACGCTGCCAATGAGAGAACTTCAGCCACGACCGTCAATAGTTGTAATCTGTT